GCTATTTTATCCACATCAATCTCATCAAACATTGTTTGGCCATAGGCACAAACTTTATTGCTACCCCACCAGGGGTGGTGTGCATTGAAATCACCTAAAAAGAATAGTTGATTGATATTGTTGACCTTATCAATGACGGCATGCCACTCATCTCTCCACGACGAGATAGACATTCCGGGTTTATGAGTTGGACTCCTGTAATATGCTATAATGTTTGTAGGCTCTGGGTAAGTATCTATAGTGATGGCAGCTATTTCTATTTGTTCTAGGTCGTTCAATCCTAGTTCAAGAGTGTCGTACATAATGTTGGATTTGATTAAAAACAAAATACCTCCTTTACTATTACAAGCTCTGTCAAATCTGACAGCGTTAAAACCTTGTAAAGTGTAGTGATTATGTTCATTTAAAAATGATTCAAAAATAATTATTACATCATAATTTATAAATAATTTAATAGCTTCAGTCTTACTTTTAATTCCTCTGGCATTCCATTGAAGAATTTTAAGGCCAGAGTTAACCATATTACAATGACTAAATAAATAACTAAATTGATTCTTTGGTTTTTGCTTTCTTTTTATAAACTCAAATAAGTGATTCAAGTACATTAATTGTTAAAAGTAAGACTAAAGCTGTGTTTAAGTTGGAGGGTTGCAAAAATCAAAAAGTGGGTCACGTGTAGAACCGTTGATATTGTTTAATTGTTCTTGATGAAGACGGTTGTAAAGTTTCTTGGTTGTTGAGGCCAAGTTGGTGTTGAAATTTCCATCTTGACCCTCAGGATTTGTTAGTTGTCAGTGTGCTTTTTCCTGTACGATTCTTGTTGCTGTTGCTGTTTCCGTTGTTGTTGTTGTTGCTATTATTGTTGCTGGTCGTTGGATGTGACAGGATGGCCTGTTTTCCAGAAGGAGACTGATTTGAAACTTGATTATTGGAGGATCTGATTTTTGTGGTGGTTTTATTCTCCAAACTATTGATTTTATTAAAGTCAGAATAATTTGATTCTTTATTTAATGGTGGGTACTGTTCAGCTGATTTGCCTGTGAGACTTCTGGTC